GCTCTCTAACCATTCCTCTACAGATTTCATACACAATTTAAGCAGAATTGAAGGTCTTGTTTTGGAAGCTACTTCTAAAGATAGGAACACAGATTAAAATTGACTGTTCCCCATAGTTCAATGATCTTTATTGTTCTGTTTAACAAATGTATTTTGAAAATAGGCACTGCTAATACTTTGATGCTAATTCCATTAATTAAGTGATGCATTAATTTGGAAAGAAGAGAAGAAAAAAAACAAACACTATGTTAATTACCAGAATTGTTTACTGTATGCAAACCTTGTCTTGCTTATTCTGCATATCCATCTGTAGTTATTTTCCTACTCTACAACTGCTCAGAGGTGGTAATAAAGATTTTGCTCACCGTTAGCTGGTTAAACTTGGTCATAATATGCACACACACACACACAACTTGTTATCCAACAAGTGTATTAATTTTCAGTGTTACTACTATAACACTTTTTCTTAGGTTCACAATCAATTCAATTGCAGTATTGAATGGTATTTTAACACCAAGATATTTGCTCTTGAAATGACTGAGGGCAGGGTGAGCAGGCACACTTCAGTTCTATAACAACTCTGTAATCTATTTTGGTCACGTCAGCTCCTAATGCATTTTTTGGTTTTATTTACAGCATTGAGATATGGCTCAAGAGACAAACCAGACTCCAGGGCCCATGCTGTGTCGTACAGGATGTGGATTTTATGGAAATCTTAGGACAAATGGGATGTGTTCGGTTTGCTATAAAGAACATCTTCAGCGACAGCAGAATAGTGGTAGAATCAGCCCAATGGGTAAGAATTTAGGTCTGTTTTAGAAAATATTTTTGATTCCTCTTCATTATTTCAAGTGAACTTTTGAAAGCTGCATACTAAGACTATGAACATCAGAGAACACTAATTTTAAACAGTAAAAATAAAACCAAATTTTTGTGTAACAGATTTTTGCCAACTCGGTGTTGAACCTTAATTTGCATTTCTACATATTCTCCACTATCAGTGTGTTCTTATATAATTCCTGTATTTGATAATTAGCAATAGTCTGTCTTTAATAAGAAAGATGCAGTAGAATGAAGGGAAACAGTTTGTTGCTATGTGCAAGAGTAAGAGTATTTGATTAATTTATAATTCACAGTTTGCTTATTAACTTCTCAAATTCCTGTTATATAGGAACGACCAGTGTTTCTAACAGTCCTGCCTCGGACTCTGCATCTATACAAAGAGCAGACATTAGCTTAAACAAGTGTCAGGGTGCTGCTGGCAGCACATTTGAAAAGTCAAGGTAAGATGAAAGTGTTATTTTTGAGGTTTGAATGAGCTGAGTGTGCAGCAAGTTGAAGACCTGTAGTGATATTGTCCTAGTACAGTGAGCTTCTGTAGATGACAGAAAAAAGGACATTGCACTTAAGTGCTTTGTGAATCTTTATAAATAAGAACGGATTACAGTGTTTGGTGTTAGACTACTGCATTTATAAGGATATTTCTGGTTTATCTGGAGAAATATGCCCTACAGGTCGTGTCATATTCTAGGTAAGTGGAAATAAGGGTGAAAAATATACTTTAGCTATAGCAGAAGTAGTGATCAGGAACCTGTATTAGTAATAATTGAACAGATAGTGTATTGATATAGATGGGTTTGGACAATTTAAGCTTTTTATTATGGACTCGAGACTAATGTAAATTACACTGTACCTTAACAGAAATGTACCTGTTGCTGCTTTGCCTGTAACACAGCAAATGACAGAAATGAGCATTTCGAGAGAGGAAAAATTAACACCGAAAACAGAAACTGAACCAGGTATGTTTACAGAGTAATACTGTATGCAACTGGTGACTTAAGGGAAAGTAGAGTTTTGTTTTGCTATCTTTGCCAAATATAAAAACCAGTCTTATGCTTCTGTTCATCTAATATCTTTTTTTTGCTAACCAATCAACTACATGATAGCTAGTGTCACACAGTGCCCTTTATTGATTAGGGATAAAAGAAATCCAAAAAGCAACTCAAAATATTTATCGTTGTAAATCTTGCAGCTGGAAACTCAAAGGTGAAACCAGTAAAAGCTTGGTTGAAGCTTTTGTGTGTAGAGATTATTAGAAAGGCTACTGTAAAACACAAACATGCTTGGAAACAAACTTTCTGGAATGTAAACATGCTCAGGGATAGAAGTTGTTTTTTTGTTTGTTTGTTTTGTTTTGTTCCCTTCCCCCAGTGCATACACACAATTTTTTGAAACTATTTTCAGCTCCTTCAAAAGTACAAGTTTCCTTTTGGGTGTTCATTGGGTTCATGGCAGACTTTAGACAGCATCTACTATTTTTAGATTACGAAGGTTTTATTGTGCATCTAAGATGCATCAAGTGTGTCGTGTTCCCCGGTACTGATCTGTAAGTGTCTTACAGTCACAAGAAATTGGTCCAAATTCTTTATTTTTATAAATCCCTATTGTGTCCTTGCTACTTAAGTTTCTCTTTCTTTCTTTGAGCAGCATCCCCTAAACAAGCCAGAAAGTTGATTTCTTGTGTGTTGTGTTGTTTTGTGGGTGGGTAGATGTGTTATGTGGGGTCTTTTGTTTTTTTTTTTCTTCCCCTGTTTGTGGAGTAAAAGTATAAAGTATATAAAATTTGCTGTTTGGAATTAAGTGTCTTTTTTCTCTCAGTTTCAGCAACAAGCTTTTTTTCATTATTTTTTTTTCCATATTGAGATCTGTAGCCTGGATCATTCAAAACAAGTTAGGTCCAAGAGCAATTAATCATATTTTAGTGTTTGAAGAAAGAAGGACCTGACAAACTTTAGCCCAGTTGTAATTCACATGTCTAAAAGTTTTATTTTGTAACTTGTAACTTATTAGTTCAACTTTCTTGCTCGTTGTACTTCCATAATTGAATTGTATGGCTTCTGCTAGGTCCAGTTGCTTATCTTAGCTGCTCACAAAAGTCAGTTAAATCTGAAGACCTTATGTCCAGACTCCAATTCATAATTAGGTACTGGTTATATACTTTCAAAGGCTTTGGATATGCTTCTGAACTTTTTATTAATGATTGAATTCTAGTATAGTCTTGACTCAGCTTTTAAATCTTCACATTCTAGAAATATGATGCATAGTTGTTTTTCCCCACACTGAGTTGTAGAAATTAAATGCAGAACTTGACTAGCTTCTTTCCTTTCCTTATGTTGATGATTACATCAGAGCAATGCCTTTACCATGCTGGATAGGTATGGTTGGAGACCTTCCTCGATAAGCCTGTTTTGTTTTAGTGGATTTGTAAGTGGGAATAATTTCCATACAAGGAAGAATGGAGTTAAACATTAAGCTGTAAATGAACTGTTTTGAGAACAAGTATGTCTAATCACATTGCAGTAAATTGTAGCGTGCTTCTGTCAGTGTTTCCAGACTTAATTAGTAGCAGCATGCATATTAGACTTTTGGCCTGTTTAGCCCAGTAATAGCACTGTTTTAGGGATTAGTGTGAAGTCGCTCCACACTCCAATAAGTCACAGTTGTAGAATAGCATTGCCTGTAAAGAAAGTGAACCATAACTTGAAATGATTATGGTCTCTATTTGTAAAATATATATTAGAAAATCATCCTCAAATATTGTTAATTTAGTCGTTCCGTCCATTTTGTAGGTTACCCTTTCTGTTCCCGAAAGTTGGTGTTCGATGAGCTTCATGAGATAATCATGATGAGCTCACTTGTCTTTTGGCTCTGTATCAGACTAATATGATTAGTGTTATATTAATGTTAAGCAACACAGCTGTGCTGCACTCAGGTTGAGACCTTGTTATAGGTTGCCCTTATTCATGTTGTAGATGCACTGTACACATAACTACTGCTTGATGTGGATAATCTGAGTATGATGCTGAATAGGCAGACAGCTTTAGATATTGTAGGCTCAAAATGGTAAGTAAATGGTGTGAAATGTTGCAGTTTGAAAGCCGCAGTGGTAGTGGTGGTGGGGGGGGGAAGGAGATATCAAATCAGCATCGGATTCACAGTCTGTGGACCGTAGGTCCGATCGCCTTCCTAGGAGAGAATCGAGTTCCCAAATAGTGTGATCAACTATAAGCTCGACTCTGGCAGTATCGGATTCACAAACAGTCCGTCAACTGTAGGTCCGATCACCTCCCCCCAAACAAGTAGTCGAGTTCACAAACAGTATGATTTATTCAAATGCAACATTTAGAAAGCAGGTTTCAGATGTCAGTACAGGAAATTCTCTACTAGAGCATGGGGTTTTTAGCTATCTCTGATGTACAAATGTGCAATCATCGCTCACCCCAGAAGATGGGAGAGGGCTCTCAGTCTCGAGTCTCCTCAGGCAGCATCCCAACCCGAGGGGAGGAAAGGGGGATCAGCCTGTAGACTGACCCAAGAGTTATGATGGATTCTTCCCTCCTCCTTTTCATCCTTAGTTCACCTTTTATACTTTTCTTTACATTCAGGTGGAGCTTGAGTGACTAGAGTCATACTTATTATTGTTATTGATTGGTGAAAAAGTTTCTTGCTTTCATTTAAAGGTACCGCATGCTCGGTGAGGGGAGGTCGTACCTCGGAGGCGGGTAACTTTTGGGATGGAGGTGTGTTTTGACATTATAATGAGCTTATAACGAGCAAAGTTCAAGAAAACTTCATCCGAAAGGAGTGATTTGCCACCCTTGCTGGCTCAGCACCGGACATGTTATCGTATATCTCCCATTGGACAGCTACTGTGCGGCTTATCAGCAGCCCAGCATAGGGAGCGCAGCAGTTTGGCCATGGTGTCTTCACTCCGCTCCATCCTCCATTACTCCTCTTTGCAGCTGTGAGGAGCGCAGATTGTGTTGCCTAGGGAACCGTGGAGGAGCAGAGTCCGTGCGTACCAACCATCCTGGAAGTGGCAACTGTGTATGACCCCAAGCAAGCTTTTGTAATGCCATAACTTCTGTTAGGCCCTAGTTTTTCTCCCAGTTCCCACTTTCAAACAATTCTTCCACAAATGGTATTACTTAGTTCTTGCAGTTTTGATAACTGCCTTGTTATTTCTAATTTGTCTTTAAACATGACTGAGTTATTTAATCATGCTGCTATGTATAGACTGTTCTTTGGCCTTTAGCACCATCTGCTATAAGAATCTTATTGTCTTGTGTTCAAAATAGTTGTTTTCAAGTTTCCCATGTCTGCTGAAGTTTGGGTAGAAATCCCCGATTAAAACAATTCTGGAATGGAACCAGTAATCTTTTCTGAGCTGTCCACCTTGGAAAGTCAGACTGAGGGTGCAGCTACTGGTGCTGTGCTTGTTGCTGATAGACTGTTATTTTTAACAGAGACCAAATTAAACTATATTTCAGTGTGATATTTGAACAGGAATATCTTTACATTGCATCAATGTAATAGTAAAGGTATCCAATAGCTCTTAAGAGCTGGGCATGTGGGAGAAGTTATGTGCTAGAAAATAGTTTTATCCCCCTTTCTTGATATGAAATTAAAAATGATGCAACTTCAGCCTTTCCTGGGCACCTAGATCAGCATAGCAATTTTATTTTCTGAAGAACAATATTTATTTTCAAGACGCTTGACTTGCATAATAAATGCTGCTTATCAGTGACTCAATTTTATGTACAAGTCAATTTGTTTTAATGTGCAATATAATAAGGATTGTACAACCTGTAGTGTAGCTTTCTCTGGTACTGCAGAACTGTAATGTAATGTCTTTCTGAGGTCTTTTGGTTTACCTTTTTCTCTACTGTGTTTTCCCTATTTTCTCTGGTGGGAATTGAGGGGGTATCATCTAAAAATAGAATGTTTGAAATTGTTCATGTTGTCGTGACTTTCCACTGGTGTTCTTACTGCTGACTAGTACCAATGGAAGTCATGCGACTTGTTAAATGGAAGGATTTCTCTTTTGGATACTCCTTTGGTCATAGAAATTCCTAAAATTTTTTTGGTGTTACTTTGGTAGCCCTTTTTGTTTGCATTAAGTATGGGGAGGATTTTTTTTAAAATCTTGTTTTATTTTCATAATAATGAAAATAAGTGGCTGAATCATTCCTTTTTGAAGTAGAAGTTTCATAGTCACTGTGGCTTAATGCTTTGGGGTAAGAGAGCACTGTTCTTCCTGTTTCTAGGGTCATTCTGTATGTAAGTTAGCTAGCTGTCATGCTGTGTTTTGTGGCTTCCTTCCACTGCTCTGTGACCTTGCTGTTCCCACGTGCCTTTCTTTAATTAATCTCTTCGGACTACACATGAAAAAAATCCTTAAATCTGCCATGCAACACTTGTGTTTGTGCTTTTTTGAGTACCTGTCTAGTACTAGGGTTGTGTTTAGTTTTTATTTTAGCAGAGTTAGGATAATCTGTTTTATTATTTCTGATGCTACTGCATCTTACAATGCCTGCAGATAAGTATTACTTTTGTCTTAATTTATTAATAAAGATTTGTTTCATTCTGACAGTCTCTATTGCTCTTGAATTTTACCAAGACAGGTCTCTTGGTACAAGGTTGAAAAAATGTAAGTGAACTAAACAGAATGAGATAGCTTTCTGAGCTAATGGTTGAAAAGAGTGATGACCAAGGTGATGGAGAGGGGTACATGCCAACATGACTTCTAAGATGACAGAATATGAATTTTAGTGGTCATGTTTGCTTTGTCTGAACAAGGCTATTGGTACTGAGGAAGCAGGTCTGGAGAGAACAGTAACAACCATTTTCCTACCACTGTTTCAGCTTTTGTTCAGTGATTTATTCCATGCTGATCATATGACATCATTTAGAGCACTTAGATTTCATCAACACCATGTGATTTCTGTCATAAAATGAA